ATGTAAAATTTTTTCGATTTTTAGTTTTTGGTGGATTACGTACCAGTATTTAAAGTAGTTTCATGTCCACTAACAACACAGTGCAAAAGTCGCTATCATACTTATTTATAATCTTTCAAAAGTATACATACATCTTCTGATGGACTTAGAAAACTGCTTTAAGTCGTATAGACTGTTAATATTATCTTATGTCATGTTATGTTACAATTTTATAAGGCTCTTATTTATCCAAATTTTCAGGTAATAATAAAAAAGATGCAATTTAAATGTTACTTGTTGTCGTAGTCGTTTTTTTTTCAAATTTATGGCGTTCTATTACAAAATCACATAACGCTGTTTGCAAGTGGACTACTCAATTCTACTTTGTGAGGGTTATAATCCCTAAGTGCGGCCGAAGGCCGCCTACGCAGAAAGGTGTTCTCTGCAAAAGGTGTTCAGCCCCCCTTCTTTGGCAACACAGAAAGGAGAATTCTACTGCCTGAGGGTTATAATCCCTAAGTGCGGCCGGAGGCCGCCTACGCAGAAAGGTGTTCTCTGCAAAAGGTGTTCAGTGCCTTTTCTTCGCAACACAGACAGAGATTTGAGTAGTCCACTTGCAAAGTGCGCCATGTAAAATTTTTTCGATTTTTAGTTTTTGGTGGATTACGTACCAGTATTTAAAGTAGTTTCATGTCCACTAACAACACAGTGCAAAAGTCGCTATCATACTTATTTATAATCTTTCAAAAGTATACATACATCTTCTGATGGACTTAGAAAACTGCTTTAAGTCGTATAGACTGTTAATATTATCTTATGTCATGTTATGTTACAATTTTATAAGGCTCTTATTTATCCAAATTTTCAGGTAATAATAAAAAAGATGCAATTTAAATGTTACTTGTTGTCGTAGTCGTATTTTTTCAAATTTATGGCGTTCTATTACAAAATCACATAACGCTGTTTGCAAGTGGACTACTCAATTCTACTTTGTGAGGGTTATAATCCCTAAGGTGTTCAGTGCCTTTTCTTCGCAGCACAGAAAGGGAATTCCCTTTTGTGAGGGTTATAATCCCTAAGTGCGGCCGAAGGCCGCCTACGCAGAAAGCTGTTCTCTTCAAAAGGTGTTCAGTGCCTTTTCTTCGCAACACAGAAAGGGAATTCCCTTTTGTGAGGGTTATAATCCCTAAGTGCGGCCGAAGGCCGCCTACGCAGAAAGCTGTTCTCTTCAAAAGGTGTTCAGTGCCTTTTCTTCGCAACACAGAAAGGGAATTCCCTTTTGTGAGGGTTATAATCCCTAAGTGCGGCCGAAGGCCGCCTACGCAGAAAGCTGTTCTCTTCAAAAGGTGTTCAGTGCCTTTTCTTCGCAACACAGAAAGGGAATTCCCTTTTGTGAGGGTTATAATCCCTAAGTGCGGCCGAAGGCCGCCTACGCAGAAAGCTGTTCTCTTCAAAAGGTGTTCAGTGCCTTTTCTTCGCAACACAGAAAGGGAATTCCCTTTTGTGAGGGTTATAATCCCTAAGTGCGGCCGAAGGCCGCCTACGCAGAAAGCTGTTCTCTTCAAAAGGTGTTCAGTGCCTTTTCTTCGCAACACAGAAAGGGAATTCCCTTTTGTGAGGGTTATAATCCCTAAGTGCGGCCGAAGGCCGCCTACGCAGAAAGGTGTTCTCTGCAAAAGGTGTTCAGTGCCTTTTCTTTGCAACACAGAAAGAGAATTGTACTTTGTGAGGGTTATAATCCCTAAACGCAGCCGGAGGCAGACTACGCAGAAAGAGTTCAGCTCCTCTTTTTCAGCAACACAGAAAGGAGAATTCTGCGTAGTAAGGTTTACAATTCCTAAGCGCGACCGAAGGCCGCCTACGCAAAAAGGAGTTTTGTGAAAAAATACTGTGGATAGCGTAGTTGGTGTTGGACAGAGTAGGGTTGTTTTATATAAATACTTTGTACAGTGAGAACTCTTGACAGCATACTGTATAAAAGCTTGATTAATTTGCGAATGAATTGAACAACTCAATCTTATAACAAATAAGGTGATTTAAATAAAATGGTTTGTATAGATTTGCTTAGTATTTTTTTACTTTTAATTCAATTTTTGTAAAAACTATTTAAAATATATATAAGGTACGAATATCAAATTAAAGAGAGTTAGATTTCCTATCAAATGAGATCAAAATTTTCAAAATCCATTCGNTCGAATGAATTGAACAACTCAATCTTATAACAAATAAGGTGATTTAAATAAAATGGTTTGTATAGATTTGTTTAGTATTTTTTTACTTTTAATTTAATTTTTGTAAAAACTATTTAAAATATATATAAGGTACGAATATCAAATTAAAGAGAGTTAGATTTCCTATCAAATGAGATCAAAATTTTCAAAATCCATTCGTTTTTATGAAATCTTGGTTTCAAAAATAAATTTTTTTAAATTTGAGATTTGGAGCCAAACTGCATTTGTTCCTAATTGGATATCAAATTAAAGAGAGTTAGATTTCCTATCAAATGAGATCAAAATTTTCAAAATCCATTCGTTTTTATGAAATCTTGATTTCAAAAATTAATTAACTTGACCTTTGACCTTTAATAACTTTTGTAGTTGTTATTTCCCCAAAAAAAGAAGTAAACCGTTATACTCAGCTCCATCATCTCTATCGATCCCAATTTTTTTTTTAAATTTGAGATTTGGAGCCAAACTGCATTTGTTCCTAATTGGATCATTACTTCAAGGATTAAATCTAATTTTTATATTAGATATTATATGCTCCGATATAGTTATTCGTATTCCTCATTATTTAAAAAGAACATATGTACATGGGACCATTTTATGTTGGTCCCCTTTCAGACACGTCAAGTCTTGAAAGCAAATCTTTTCGAATTCTCTTGTGTATTCTAGTTGCTTCCACACGCGTCTACTTTTACTGAATTCAAGTCATCGTACAGTTCTATAAGTAACGTAAGACTATCCGCACAATGGTCGTCCAATCATGGTTGCGTTATCGTCTCGCCCTGAAATTTTGAGCCGAGCACATGCGTTTCAATGAAGGCCTGCACACTTGTCGTTATCGGCAAATAGTAGAAGATGCAGAAACGGATAAGTACGATACTGTCGTTTGCTAATCGTTATACACGCATTGTTTGTTTACACTTTATTGGGAAAAATTAGTGAAAAAGTGTACATTACATAAAAATGAGTATTTCTTGCATTAAATCTGTGGAAATTATTAAAAATTCAATAAACGTGAGAGTTTTAACTATCAAACATGTTGAAATTGTAAAAGTCTCTAGGCGCGTGCACACATTTCAGGAGAAGAAAAGAAGAGAGATCAATGAAAAATAATGGTCCGTAGTCATAGAGAAGTTAGAAAAAGGTTTTAACGATTAAAATTGTGTTNGTCTCTAGGCGCGTGCACAAAACACATTTCAGGAGAAGAAAAGAAGAGAGATCAATGAAAAATAATGGCCCGTAGTCATAGAGAAGTTAGAAAAAGGTTTTAACGATTAAAATTGTGTTTTATTGTAATCACTATTTTATCTCTTTCATAGTCAACTTAAAATCCATTTTATGGCAAAAACAGAATTTTAACTTTAAAATGAGGAGAACGCGGTTTTAAAATGGTAAAATAAGGTTCTAAGTTTTGTTTTGTTGTTGAAGTAGTAAACGCAATAGGTCCCAGGTTCTGTTCCCACTCCGAGCGATTCCAAACAATTTTTATTTTTTTATTTTTTTTTATTTTACCATAAACATTATTTTATTTCATTAAATTTTGTTTTATCATCTTTTTTTATATTTCATATAATTATTTCGTTATTAATAACATTTTTTGGAGTTTATTTTTAATTAAAAAGGCCAGAACAACTATAATTAAATAACAAAAATTTTAATAATATTTGAAAGAACAAAAAAAGATGTAAAAAAAGTTCCCTGGCAGTGGGATTCGAACCAATGACTTCCCGGCTTGCTAAATCCGCAATCCTGCAGCGGACACAGGGTNGAAAGAACAAAAAAAGATGTAAAAAAAGTTCCCTGGCAGTGGGATTCGAACCCACGACTTCCCGGCTTGCTAAATCCGCAATCCTGCAGCGGACACAGGGTGAACAAATTAAAGTACTCCTAAGCCGGGTAAATGTTTACTCTTCATATGGATAGCACTGTTATCTCTCATCTTAACAAAAAGCTGTTTCTAAGATGTCTATGATTAACACAACTTAAAACTCTATTCTAAACTTAAAACTGTATTTTAACAAGAATGAGTTTTAACTTGCGGCTATTACCTTGTTTATATGGCATCAAACGCGGTATCGAATTAACTCGTGTCAGCGTAGCTCGCTTGAAATGCAAGAGTTTATATGCAACACAAGAAATGAGTCGATCAAACACACTTTCAAACAGAGTTTATTCCGATGCAACCCTGTTAATACATGTGTCAATTCTTGAAAATAATGAACATTGAAAAATAATAATTAAAGACTCAAACAGCCTTGTAAAAATTATCTTAGCTATTAATTTTATAACAAAGCTTAGCATAAATGTAATTTCAAGAACTATTTAAATGGTTTACTTTATATACAGAGTTGCATGAAACAATCGTGTGGCCAAATTCCGTGTTTATATGCACTCTTAACACGATTCAACAACTCTTAACTCGCATTCAAAAAGTGAGTTATGGTGGCACGGTTAAAAGTTTCAATGCGATTAGAGAAGGTGTTTACATGTGTGTGTCCATATAACATGGTTTGACTTAGAACGAATCATATAAACGTGGTATATGACTATAAGCCAATGTCTAGAATTGTTGCAGCACAGTTCACAATTTAAAAATTGCAGGCTTTTGTAAAAATTTCGCGAAAAAATCAGCCAAAAAACAAGTAAGAAAGTCTAAGTTCGGGCGGAGCCGAACATTAAATACCCTGGGCAAATATAAAATAAATGTTTTTTCACCTTTCCGAAACCTACCGCTAGATGGTTAGCCGGGGTGTATCAATTTTGAGTAAACTAGCGTCCTTAAATTTCGAAATATTGCAGTTTCAAGCATTTCTGAAATTTACCGTTATATGAAAAGCGGCCGGAATTTTAGTCCGATTACAATAATTTTCAACGTTTTGCTTTTATGTGGCAAGCACAATAAAAATACCGAGTTTGGTACAAATTGGTTGAACGGTTACCGATATATATATATGTGATCATAAGTGGGCGGTGCCACGCCCATTTTCCAAAATTTTATCATAAGCGTATTTCTTGGTAAAGGATTGTTGCAAGCATCAATTTTGAATAAATTAGCTTTAACATTTACTGATTTATCGAAGATTTCGTATTTCTCCAAATTACCGTTATATGGGATGTGGGCGTGGTTATTGTCCGATTTTAAAAATTTTCGGCCATTTGATATCCTGTACCAAGTCCAATAACTGTGCCAAGTTTGGAAGAAATCGGTACAGCGGTTGCCAAGATATACCCATGTAACTATAAGTGGGCGTGGCTACGCCCATTTTTCAAAA